TAATAATAATAATAATAATAATAGGTACAATGAGAGAGGGCCTAGGCTGGAATAAAATACAGATGGGTGTGAAATCCAAAATTCTCCAAAATGTGGTATTTTCTGAGCCACAATCCAAGAGAGACAGACAGAGAGGTGGCTGACTTCACAATAAAAAACAAAGTATGGATTGTCAATGATGCAAACCCAGGTGATAGCAGGATTGAAGAGAAACAACTGGAAAAGCTGAGGATTTAAAGATCGATCTACAAAGACTGGCACAAGCCAGTCAAGATGGTCCCAGTGGTGATTGGCACACTGGGTGCAGTGCCTAAAGACCTTGGCCTGCACTTTAACACAATTGGCGCTGACAAGATTACCATCTGCCAGCTGCAGAAGGCCACCTTACTGGGATCTGCATGCATTATTCGCCGATACATCACACAGTCCTAGACACTTGGGAAGTGTCCAATGACACAGCAGAGTGTCTGCTGTGGACTCATCTTGTTGTGTTTCAAATAATAATAATAATAATAATAATAATAATAATAATAATAATACTTTATTTATACCCCGCGAAGGAAGATAGATGGTTTTGAATTGTGGTGCTGGAGGAAAGTTCTGAGAGTGCCTTGGACAGCGAGAAGATCCAACCAGTCCATACTTCAAGAAATAAAGCCTGACTGGTCATTGAATAGTAGAGGCAAAGATGAAGTACTTTGGCCACATCATGAGAAGAAAGGAAAGCTTAGAGAAGAGTACGATGCTGGGGAAAATGGAAGGAAAAAGGAAGAGGGGCCGACCAAGGGCAAGATGGATGGATGGCATCCTTGAAGTGACTGGATTGACTTTGAAGGGGCTGGGGGTGGTGACGACCAACAGGGAGCTCTGGCGTGGACTGGTCCATGAAGTCACAAAGAGTCGGAAACGACTGAACGAATGAACAACAACAACAAACCATCTCCCCAAGGGGACTCAGGGTGGCTTACATGAGTCCAAGCCCAACAGTACAACAGAGCAAATATACAACATAAAATACAAACAGCAAAATATAATGAAGATAAAAAATAAATACAGAAAACAATACAAATGAACACACCATGTGATGCAGTCTAGTTCCGCAAACCTTTAATCAGCATATGGCCAGCCCAGTTTCTCTTTCAGGCTGTCCAGTCTGAAGCTGTGCGCTGAGCAGAAAAAAAATGAAAAGCAGAAGTTCATCTTCAACAAGCTATGCAGCATTGCAAGTATAGTTGAGATGTTGCTGGAAAGGCAACAGGAAGGAGAATCAATCAGAAAAATGTCAGCTTTCCACCACATTCATGTTAGCCAATAGAGGAAACTTCAAGCCAAACTTTTGTATCTTCTTCATTTTGAGATTCTTCCATGTAGTGGTTGTGTCCTTTGCTAGAATTGTGTTGTTGGTCAGCTCATTCCACTATAAAGAGTTAAGTTTATTTCTGTTCAACCCTTTTCTGTTTTCCTCTGCAGTTACTTATATCCGGATGGGCGGAATCAGAACCCTGACTTGACCGGTCTGTGTGAGCCCACCCCGCAGGACCACATTAAAGTGACACAGGTAAGCAAAAACTGCAGTCTCTTTCTTTGCCATCTTAGTCCATGGCTTTTATCTGGATTAACGTTAGCCCTAGTTCCAAACTAGGCCTAGATATCTCTCAGAGTTGCTTTTGGGAAGAAAAAGGTTTTAAAATAATCCAGTTTGAAACCAATGTGGTCATGAGCCTTGCTTGGAGTGAAGATGCTGCATAGCTTTCTTTTAAGATTAGCTTTGTCTCCTCCTGGGATTGCTATCTGGAAACTGTGAGTGGATAATATTGGTGTTACCTTGAGCAAGTCACACTCTCAGTCTCAGAGGAATAAAATGGCAATTGAGTAAATCTTGCTAAGCATAACCTAGGATAGGGTTGCCATAAACCAGAGTTGGCTTGAAGGGACGCTTGTGGTAGTTATTTTAAATGACTCAATGAATATCAGAAATATTAAAAATTAACAAGGTATTTTTAATTACAAGAATGTGAGTCAAGCACTGAAAGGGTAAAATGATACAATGGATACAATGGTTAAACTCCTATGCCAGCAGGACTGAAGACCAACAGGTCGCAGGTTCGAATCCGGGGAGAGGCGGATGAGCTCCCTCTATCAGTTCCAGCTCGTCATGCGGGGACATGAGAGAAGCCTCCCACAAGGATGATAAAAACATCAATTCATCCGGGCGTCGCCTGGGCAATGTCCTTGCAGACGGCCAATTCTCTCACACCAGAAGCGACTTGCAGTTTCTCAAATCGCTCCTGACACGCCAAAAAAATGGATACAATGACTCAGCAAAAGCTGCAGTTCAGTATAAGCAGGTGTGCCTGTAACTTAGTAGCCCTCTGTCTGTCAGAGGGCCCCAGTGGGAGAAAGGCCTCAGTGTGTTAGTAGGCCTCAGTATGAGAAGGCCTCAGTGTTAATTCGCCTCAGTCGGAGAAAGGCTTCAGTTTGAGAGGAAGTCCCAGGTTGAAGGCCTCATGTGTAAAGCTACTGTGTGAAGCTCTTGTGTAAATTCGGTGTGAGAAGAGGCTCTGTGAGAGTGAAGCTGCTTATCTGCATAAGAAAGAAGACCGGTGAGGAAGCGAAGAAGAAAGTGCAAAGAATTTTATTTTTGTTATTGAAACTTTGTTCTTGTAAATAGTGCTACCATATTATTTTGCTTTAAAGAAAAGCCTCCTATGGAAGAGATAACATTGATCTGTGTGTTTTTGTTCTTTTTATCATTTTGGTGCAGGGTCATGCTGCTACTCATAAGTTACTCTGCTATACATTCATGGGGAGGGGTTTTTGTTAATAAGTTCACTCCCCCAGCAAGGGTTATGAGCCCAATATAACCCATAATACTACATACCATAATCTCTTTTCTCTTTCCTATCTCTCTTGCCTCAGGAACAATATGAATTGTACTGTGAAATGGGTTCTACCTTCCAACTGTGTAAAATCTGTGCAGAAAATGACAAAGATGTGAAAATAGAGCCCTGCGGCCACCTGATGTGCACTTCATGCCTCACTTCCTGGCAGGTAAGGCTGGCTGAAGTCTTGGCTTTCTGCTGTCAGTGTTCAGAATGGTAACCATTAAACCTCCCTTGCCTGTGCTTGGCATTCTTGAGGAATCACCTGTGTGTATGGCATTATCTTTAATGTAAATAAGCAGTTGCATTAGCATTAAGGCAATGAGATTTGCAGCAAAGTGATGTAACCGATGGCTTACATGAAATATGAGAAAGGGAGTTTGGGGTGGTACAATATCCTAGTTTGCCACATTGTAATTCCAATGAGAATATTGAAGTTGTTGTGTAATATTATAATCCTTTCTGTTGTATTTGGGTATTAGGATGTTTTAAGTTGTCAGTTGTTTTGTGACCTGCTTCCCTTCTTCCCTTTCCCATAGGAATCCGAAGGGCAGGGCTGTCCATTCTGCCGCTGTGAAATTAAAGGCACGGAACCCATTGTCGTTGACCCCTTTGATCCCAGGGGGGGAGGAGGACTGCTCCGGCAAGGCGCAGAGGGGGCCCCTTCTCCCAATTATGAAGACGATGATGACGACAGAGCAGACGAATCACTCTTCATGATGAAAGAACTGGCGGGCGCAAAGGTAATCTCTCCAGAGCTGTCCTGGAGGTCCAGGCCTTGTGTGTGGCCTCTCACCCAGGCCTCAGCTGATCCCACGCTTGCTTCTTCAAGGCTGTGGTTTCATGGGCTTGGAGGCTATGACCCTGGGATGGGATGTACTTCTAACAGGTATTGCATACACTTCAGCTTCTCTAGTACTGCTTTGTCATATCCAAATCTCAGCAGTCCATTTATTGAATCAAAATACCACTCTGAGAAAGTGAGTCCTGCCATGTTCCTGTGCAGGGTCTCTTTTCAGGGTAATAATAATAATAATAATAATAATAATAATAATACTTTATTTATACCCCACTACCATCTCCCCAAGGGACTCGGTGCGGCTTTCATAAGGCCGAGTCCACAATACATCAATACAAGCAACAACAGTAAAACAATTAAAACTCATAAACAAAAAAGCAATATACAGTGACAGTAATACAGCACACAATTAAAATCTATGGCTGGGCCAAATGTCATTAAAGTTAAAAATAATGCTAGGCATGAATAAGGTAGAAGAGATGGGGCATTGGTGAGAGCGTACAAACAATCCTAAATCAGTGTAAAGTGCATTTAGAGGGCACAATGCTGAGAATTCATTATTCTGGGAAGGCACACCGGAACAACCACGTTTTCAGGCTCCTCCTAAAGACTGCCAGAGTTGGGGCATACCTGATGTCCTAGACTAGCTGTGTCCAATTCAGTCCAAACTGGACCGGTTTTGCACCTTTCCACTGGTGTTTTTTCCCTTTTACTCAAATAATCCTTGGGATCCCTCCCAGAAGCCTTCTAGCTCCCTTTTCTGCAGGAATGGTACCAGTTTAGCCATTAAAGGACCTGCATTTGAAGAATGAGAGCACTGTTAGGGTCAAGGGTCTGGAGAACAAGCCCTATGAGGAGCGGCTTAAGGAGCTGGGCATGTTTAGCCAAGAAGAGAAGGCTGAGAGGAGATATGATAGCCATGTATAAATATGTGAGAGGAAGTCACAGGGAGGAGGGAGCAAGCTTGTTTTCTGCTTCCCTGGAGACTAGGACACGGAACAATGGCTTCAAACTACAAGAAAGGAGATTCCATCTGAACATTAGGAAGAACTTCCTGACTGTGAGAGCCGTTCAGCAGTGGAACTCTCTGCCCCGGAGTGTGGTGGAGGCTCCTTCTTTGGAAGCTTTTAAACAGAGGCTGGATGGCCATCTGTCAGGGGTGATTTGAATGCAATATTCCTGCTTCTTGGCAGAATGGGTTGGACTGGATGGCCCAGGAGGTCTCTTCTAACTCTATGATTCTATGACTGGGACACCTAGTCATCCGCAAACCCAATCAACATTTGATATGTAATTTGAGTTGTCTTCCTTCAAGTTACCGGGACCACACAGGTTATTCCCATTTCCACTGTATTATAACAGATACCACTTGGTAAATTTTGACCCTAAAAGATATTTTCAGTCATCAGTGCCGTCATCAGTGCGTAGGATGGAAGACCATGCCATCTAGTGGCTTATATATGCACCCATTGGTAGCTGTGTGGCACATTTGCTGGTAAAAGAACCACATTGGTGTTCAGAGCAAATCCTTTCAAAGATGGGCTAGCTGGATGAGTGGGCAACTAAATGGAGAAGAAGTACAAACACGTTTGTAGGTGCCTCTTCAGTCCATGAAGGAGTGAGGCAGGAGGATCTTGCATCAAATGGTTTTAAAAGTTTCAACGAGAATTTTATTTTGCTTCCTTGCAGGTCGAACGCCCCCCTTCTCCATTTTCAGTGGCTCCACAGGCATCACTCCCTCCGGTGCCCCCGCGGTTAGATCTCCTGCAACAACGTGTCTCCAATCCTCCTGGAGCTTCAAGTCCAGGGACCACCTCTAAGGTATGACTGGGGCAAAAGTGGGAAAGGATGCAGTCATTCTGAGTATGAGCTTTTCCTTTCATCTGAGAACACCCTGGTTTCCTGAGTTGTATAGAAACCCTCTGGCTTTTTGTTGCTTTGCTAGCGCACTTGGGTATTTGCTTGGAGCCAAATTATTAATCCATCTGAAAAATAGCTGGGCTAACCACCAAAGCATCATTTCGATTGATGTTTGATTTTCATCCAGAATACCACTCAGACTTGCAGTTGTGCTGATGGAAATGGCCTTCCTTAATCCAAGCATTCACTTGTGCTGTGCTGGCCCTCAGAGGCTTCCTTTCTCAGTCTAAAGAAGACTTGTGTAACTTGTCAGGCCGAAATTCCTATAGGCAAAGAAAGCCTCTTTGGACTACAGATATGTTTTTAGGATGTCACTTTCCAGGTAAAGCTATAATTAATGAACAAACTGTTGTGCAAATAAACTGTATTATATAAAGGGAAGTTGCAATTCTTATCAATTCATTAAACTGATGATGCAAGATTTTTTTATTTATTATGAACTTGCATTCAAGAGATTAAATTATTTTACTAATTAACTAAATATAAACATGGTTGCTGTGAGTTTTGTGGGCTGTGTGACTAGTTCCAGAAGCATTCTCTCCTGATGTTTTGCCCACATCTATGGCAGGCATCCTCAGAGGTGGTGAGGTCTGTTGGAAACTAGGCAAGTGGGGTTTATACAACTGTGGAACATCCAGGGTGGGAGAAGAAAACTCTTGTCTGCTTGAGGCAAGTGTGAATGTTTGCAAATGGATCACCTTGACTAGCATTGAATGGCCTTCCAGCTTCAAAACCTGGCTAATTGCTGCCTGGGTGAATCCTTTGTTGGGAGGTCATTAGCTAGCCGTGATGGTTTCGTGTCTGGAATTCCTCTGTTTTTGAATGTTGCTCTTTTTATTTACTGACCTGATTTTAGATTGTTTTAATACTGGTAGCCAGATTTTGTTCATTTTCATGGTTTCCTCCTTTCTGTTGAAATTGTCCACATGATTGTGTATTTCAGTGGCTTCTCTGTGTAGTCAGACATGGTGGTTGTTAGAGGGCTCCAACATTTCTGCAATATAAACAGTAAGAAAACCTGAAATACGCATTCAAGCTTGTACCGCTTAGCAATCACAGTGCTAAGAATGATATTTTTTAATAACTAGCATTAGAAAATGAATAACCAGACAATGCTGGGTACATCAGTTAGTTATTTATAAATTATTCTCTTGAGTGAGTCACACTCTCTGCCTCAGAAAAAGGTGTAAACAAACCTTTTTTCTGTCAACAGTATTGGGTGACACTGAGCAATAAAACCATGTCATTTCAGTTGTCTTGCTGTTTAGCCCTTTCGTTGCCTGCCTTCCATTGGCTGAAGTCCTTGTCTAAAGCGTCAGAGTATTGCAAGATACCAAAATCTCCTGATAAGATGTTGCTTGAGATGTTTGCCATTCTCTTCCTCCCTAGGCTGCACCGGGCTCCCTCCACAAAGACAAACCTTTGCCAATCCCACCAACGCATCGAGATCTCCCTCCTCCACCGCCTCCAGACCGGCCACATCCAGTTGGGGCGGACAACCGACCTCAGAGGCGACCCTTGCCTTGCACGCCGGGGGACAAGTTGCCTCTTGTGCCCTGTAACCGCCAGGCAGAGCTCTGGCCCGTGCGGCCCATCCCCAAAGCGCCCGGCGGTGTCGCTTTAAGTTCTGGTGAGCCTTGGGCAGGCCGAGATGTGACAAACCGGCACTCCCTCCCATTCTCACTACCTTCCCAGATGGACTCCAGAGCAGAGCCCCACCGGCATGGAAGCACTCTGAGCTTGGACACCACAGCGTCAGTAAGTGTCCCTTGGGATCCCTTTCTCACGCTCTCAGCCACGTCCAAAAAGGCTGGGCATTGTTTTCCCATTCTGGGAGTCAAGGCAGCAGAGAGAAAGTTGAAACAGAGAGAACCCAGAGTGTACCTCATACAAAAGTCACATTGCATGAAAAGGCAATGCTTATGAAAAGATAGGATGGAGGATGTGTCATAACTATAACTCATTTGGTTATGGCATTCCATGAAGAACTGTGTAGTGGGCATGGCACTGACAAATAGACACAAGACTGTGTAATGACCAAATGGCAGAACCTTCAAGGTTTTATTGGCATGCCCTAAAGGTCAGTTGTCCATATTCTGTGGGAAAGGAAGCAAAGTTATTCCAAGTACTGGGGATCAGAGATTGGTGTGGTTTTATGACCCTGGGTTCAATTAGTCTAAATCAGTGGTTCCCAACCTGTGGTCCGTGGACCACCAGTGGTCTGCAAGAACTAAAATATGGTTCGTGGCCTCACTACATCGTTGCAACGAAAGCGATTGGTCTCGCAAAACCCTCTTATAGTGCTGAGGCTTATTAAATATGGTTTTCTGAGGGTGAGCAGATGGAGACTACTGCATGGCATATATTCTGTATCAGAAACTATTGCTGATGTGGTCTATCCAATACAATTTTCTGAATCAGCACTCCAAATAATCAAATCAAATCTGAAGTTGACCAAAAACTGATTTATAACCTTTTGGTACTAATGTTGGAGAGTGGTCCCTGCTCAACATGGCTGCTGTTCAAATTGGTCCCTGGTCAAGTGGTACCTGGTCACAGGGTCCCTGGTCACAGGGGTCCCTGGTCAAAGTGGTCCCTGGCCAAAGTGGTCCCTGGTCACGGTGGTCCCTGGTCACGATGGTCCCTGGTCACAGGGGTCCCTGGCCAAAGTGGTCCCTGGTCACAGAGGTCCCTGGTCACAGTGGTCCCTGGCCAAAGTAGTCCCTGGTCACAGGGGTCCCTGGTCAAGTGGTACCTGGTCAAAGTGGTCCCTGGTCCCTGGTCACAGGGGTCCCTGGTCAAAGTGGTCCCTGGCCAAAGTGGTCCCTGGCCACGGTGGTCCCTGATCACGGTGGTCCCTTGTCAAAGTTGTCCCTGGTCACAGTGGTCCTTGGTCAAAGTTGTCCCTGGTCGAGTGGTCCCTGGTCAAGTGGTCCCTTGTCACAGGGGTCCCTGGCCAAAGTGGTCCCTGGTCACAGTGATCTCTGGTCACAGTGGTCCCTGGTTAAAAAAAAGGTTTGGAATCACTGTTTTAAATATTTATTTATTTACTGTATTTGTATACCGCCTTTCTCAGCCAATCGGCAACTCAAGGCGGTTTCCAACAAATCAGTATACATAAAACATAATATAGATAAAAAACATTAAACAGTATAAAACATCACAAAAGCATCTCTCAGTAAAAGAAACAACTGGTGCAGAAAGGAACCTGACAGAATGTGAGTCTAGTTCATACATGGGCAAACTTTGGCCCTCCAGGTGTTTTGGACTTCAGCTCCCACAATTCCTAACAGCTGGAGATAATGATCCTTCAACTAACTTAGGCCTGAGTCTGATAGGGCTTTGTAGATTCTAACTTTGAATTGTGCCAGGAAACAGAATGGCAGCCAGTGCTTCCTCATATGGAGTGCTATACAATCATCATAGCAGACATTCCTGAAGAGATGACTGCTTTAACAATCCTGCCATAGTGAGACCCAAGAGAAAAATTGCCTCGTGTGCTTAACTGGTACAGCAACTCTGTACTGGTGGAGTTGGGAAGTCTGTGAATGTTTATGCATCCCCACAATCATGTACACAACCTAACCTGTAACCAAATGTGGGTTAAACTTTTCTGTGACCTTACCTGGATCTTTTGAAATGACAGAGTTGTGGAAATTTTGCACACTTGGAGCTTAGGTCTCATAACTTGGGTTAATGAGAGTGAGTGTTTGCACTTTTGAGCTCCACGCAGATCAAAGTACAATGAGCCGGTTCACAGCATTGCACAGTAAAATAGCTTTATTCATGTGCAACCCTTCTCAAGTTAATAGTGTGAAGGGCTGTCGAATTTTGAGGAAGTGGCTTAGGAAGGAATGTGGTGAGCACTTCTTCTTTGGAAACGCACATCATTTTCCTGTTTCCAGCACGTACCTCCAGAAGCTCCACACTACTGTCAGTAGCATTTTAAACCCAGCCCTCTGAACCCAGAAGCGATGGTTTGGGATGGGATTGATGGATTGATGAGGTGTCTTCACAACACTTTGTTCATATTTATTTATTTATTTATTTATTGTGTCAGGAGCAACCAGACATTTGTATTACATTTTTAACAAAGCAAACAAACAAACAGACAAAACACAAAGTTTCAAGCTTGGTAGTTGATTAAATGTCCTTTGACCAGTATTTGGCCACTTGGAGTGCCTCTGGTGTTGCTATAAGAAGGTCCTCCATTGTGCACGTGGCATGGCTCAGGTTGCATTGCAGCAGGTGGTCTGTGATTTGCTCTTCTCCACACTTGCATGTCGAGGATTCCACTTGGTAGCCCCATTTCTTAAGGTTGGCTCTGCATCTCGTGGTGCCAAAGCGCAGTCTGTTCAGCACCTTCCAAGTCACCCAGTTTTCTGTGTGCCCAGGAGTGAGTCTCTCATTTGGTATCAGCCATTGATTGAGGTTCTTGGTTTGAGCCTGCCACTTTTGGACTCTTGCTTGCTGGGGTGTTCCAGCGAGTGTCTCTGTAGATCTTAGAAAACTATTTCTTGATTTAAGTCGTTGACGTGCTGGCTGATACCCAAACAGGGGATGCGCTGGAGATGTCACTGCCTTGGTCCTTTCACTATTGGCTGCTACTTCCCGGCGGATGTCAGGTGGTGCAATACCCTGTGATAATGTAATTTCTCCAGTGGTGTAGGGCGCAGACACCCCATGATAATGCGACATGTCTCATTAAGAGCCACATCCACTGTTTTAGTGTGGTGAGATGTGTTCCACACTGGGCATGCGTTCTCAGCAGCAGAGGAGCATAGCGCAAGGGCAGATGTCTTCACTGTGTCTGGTTGTGATCCCCAGGTTGTGCCAGTCAGCTTTCGTATGATATTGTTTCTAGCACCCACTTTTTGCTTGATATTCAGGCAGTGCTTCTTGTAGGTCAGAGCATGGTCCAGAGTGACTCCCAGGTATTTGGGTGCGCTGCAATGCTCCAGTGGGATTCCTTCCCAGGTAATCCTCAGAGCTCGGGGTGCTTGTCTGTTCTTAAGGTGAAAGGCACATGTCTGTGTTTTAGATGGATTAGGGATCAGCTGTTTTCCCCTGTAATAGGTAGTAAGAGCACCTAGAGCTTCAGAGAGCTTCTGTTCAACCATCTCAAAGTTCCCTGCTTGAGCGGTGATGGCACGATCATCTGAATAGATGAAACTCTCTGTCCCTTCTGGCAGTGGCTGGTCATTTGTGTAAATGTTGAACATGGATGGAGCAAGCACGCTTTGTACATATGAGTGAGATGCATTTAGCTTCCACATTGTCCACAGTTGTATACAATAGTTATGTTTTCTCTGAGCCTGTTTCTTAGCTCTGTATACTTGCCGTGACTTTCTGATGGCAACCAAGAAGAAAAACTTCCCTAGAGTTCAATGCAGGTTTACAGATATACCATATATACTCGAATATGAGCCGACCCAAATATAAGGCGAGGCACCTAATTTTACCACAAAAAACTGGGAAAACGTATTGACTCGAGTATAAGCCGAGGGAGGGAAAAGCAGCAGCTACTGGTCAATTTCAAAATAAAAATAGATACCAATAACATTACATTAATTGAGGCATCAGGAGGTTAAATGTTTTTGAATATTTACATAAAAGTGTAATTTAAGATTTTTCTTTTCAACTCTGATTAAACCATTATTCTAACCTTCTTCAGTGTAAATATGCATATGCATCCTTCCAATAATAATGATGTAATAAAAATAATAATAGAGTAAAATAATGGAAATGTAATAACAGTAGTAATAGAATAAAATAATAAATGTAATAATGATAAAAATAGAGCAAAATAATAAATGTAATCATAATAGAGTAAAATAATGTACATGTAATAATAATAAGAAATAGAGTAAAATAGTACTGTATATACTCAAGTATAAACCTAGTTTTTCAGCCATTTTTTAGGCTGAAAAAGTCCCCCTCAGCTTATATTCGAGTCAAAGTTATTTATTATTTTACTCTGTTATTATTATTATTATTATTATTATTATTATTATTATTATTTTCATTTCATTTATTATTTTATTCTATTTATTATTATTACATTTATCATTTTACTCTATTATTATACATTTTATTTTACTGTATAATTGTTATTATTGCTACATTCATTATTTTACTCTTTTTATTATTGTTATTATTACATTTGTTATGTTGCTCTCTTTATTATTATTGGAAGGATACGTAAGCACGTAATAATCAGGTAAATAATCAATTAATCAAAGTTGGACAGTCTTATCTTAAATTACCATTTTTGTAAATATTCAAAAAAATATAACTTACTGATTCCTCAATTAATGTAATTTAATGTGGTATCTATTTTTATTTTGCAATTTACCAGTAGCTGCTGCATTTCCCACCCTCGGCTTATACACGAGTCAATCTGTTTTCTCAGTTTTTGTGGTAAAATTAGGTTCCTCGGCTAATATTCGGGTCGGCTTATACTCGGGTATATACGGTAAATAACCTTGACTCGAGTACAAACTGAGGAGAGATTTTTCATTCTTAAAATGGGCTGAAAAACTAGGCTTATACTCGAGAATATACAGTATATTTGACCCAAATCTGTTTGGTCATATTTTCCCCTAAGCATATTTCCAAACAATCTAACTAACAAGAGAATGCAAGCCAAGTATATCTAATTCTAATCATGTATTTTATTGTTGTTTGTAAGTGATGCCTAGAAGTTCCTTCCAATGCATCGAATGAGGATGTTTGTTTCCCCCTCTTTCTCAAATGACCTGCTGGTAATAGCGTTTGACATCGTATTTCCTTGCAGAACCAACCCAGTGGGCTCCCTGCTGGCTTGGATGCTGAACACTCCAAAATAAAACCATCTTCTTCGGCCAATGCCATCTACTCCCTTGCTGCAAGGTATGTACTTTGGAGAATCTTTGCCCAGAAATGCAACCAGTGCAGGTTTTGACTTATACAGTTGGTGGCCAGTGACTGCGGTTCTATGGATGGGTTCCTCTTTTGGGAGCTGACCTCCTGTGTGCCCTAATTCAAGCATGTGCCCTGTCTGTGATGCTTGAAATACCTGAAACAGAATAGAATATTTTACATATTGTATAGGTTTTTGTATTATCTGTTATAGAACTCCAATATGCTGATGATAATGTAGTCTGTGCGCATTCAGAAGAAGGCCCACAAGCCACTCTAAACATGTATTGTCGAAGGCTTTCATGGCTGGAATCATCGGGTTGTAAGTTTTCTGGGCTGTATGGCCATGTTCTAGAAGCATTCCCTCCTGACGTTTCGCCTGCATCTATGGCAGACATCCTCAGAGCCCCTGGTGGCACAGTGGGTTAAACCCCTGTGCCGGCAGGACTGAAGACCGATAGGTCGCAGGTTTGAATTCGGGGAGAGGCGGATGAGCTCCCTCTATCAGCTCCAGCTCCTCATGCGGGGACATGAGAGAAGCCTCCCACAAGGATGATAAAACATCAAAACATCCGCGTCCCCTGGGCAACGTCCTTGCAGACGGCCAATTCTCTCACACCAGAAGTGACTTGCAGTTTCTCAGGTCGCTCCTGACACGACAAAAAAAAAAATCCTCAGAGGTTGTGAGGTCAATTTTTTTGTTGTGTCAGGAGCAACTTGAGAAACTGCAAGTCGCTTCTGGTGTGAGAGAATTGGCCATCTTCAAGGACGTTGCCCAGGGGATGCCTGGATGTTTTGATGTTTTACCATCCTTGTGGGAGGCTTCTCTCATGTCCCGCATGGGGAGCTGGAGCTGACAGAGGGAGCTCATCTCTCTCCCTGGATTCGAATCTTTGACCTGTCACTCTTCAGTCCTGCCGGCGCAAGGTTTTAACCCATTGCACCACTGGGGGCTCCTGATGTTTAGGCTGATCGTATCTTACAAGATTGTGCCTTTTATTTACATATTATTGTGTGATTTTAAGGTAGGACTCAATTACGAGAGCGGAGGATCCCCAGAGCTGTCAGTTTATGAAACCATCAAGGGTGTAATGGATGTAAAGCAAGGAAAGTATCATGAATCTTAAGGATGGAGCACATTAAAGCTCAGCCAGGCATCAAGAGTGCTTTGTTACCTGGAAAAATGTAGATGTCTTCCATGAAGGAGGAATTGTGACCAGAGCTGCCATACATCCCTTATTTGAGGGTCTGTTATAGGGCTAGCAGGTATTCCTTATTATAAATGATATTTCCTATTTGAGAGTTGGAGAGTTTTTCTGTTTAAACTCATAAAAAGGTGCCAAGAGATCGTATCGTTTGATGTGGGCCTTTCATAAAGACAAAAATGCACTTTATGAATGTGGATAATATTGGGTTGCTGTGAGTTTTCTGGGCTGTATGGCCATGTTCCAGAAGCATTCTCTCCTGACGTTTCACCCACATCTATGGCAGGCATTCTCAGAGGTTTTGAGATCTGTTAGAAACTTGGCAAGTGGGGTTTTTATATATATATATATATATATATATATATATATCTATCTATCTATCTATCTATCTATCTATCTATCTATCTATCTGTGGAATAATGTCCAGGGTGGGAGAAAGAACTCTTGTCTGCTTGAGGCAGGTGTGAATGTTGCAATTGGCTACCTTTATTAGCATTGAATGGCCTTGTAGCTTCAAAGCTTGGCTAGTTGTTGCCTGGGGGGATTCTTTGTTGGTAGGTGTTAGCTAGCCCTGATTGATTCTTGTCTGGAATTCCTCTGTTTTTGAGTGTTGCTCTTTGTTTACTGTCCCAACTATGGCGTTTATTTTTAATACTGGTAGCCAGATTTTGTTCATTTTCATGGTTTCCTCCTTTCTGTTGAAATTGCCCACTTGCTTGCGGATTTCAATGGCTTCTTGTGTAGTCTGACATGGTGGTTGTTAGCTTGGTCCAGCATTTCTGTATTTTCTGAGGATGCTTGCCATAGATGTGGGTGAAACGTCAGGAGAGAATGCTTCTGAAACATGGCCATACAGCTTAGAAAACTCACAGCAGCCCAATGATTCTGACCATGAAAGCCTTCGACAACACATTGTGGGTAATATGTCAGTGTTGCAGCAAAATCCATAGCTAAGTGATCTGAAATCAATGCTTTTATTTAGGTTCTATTTAGGCAGAATGTAAACCTGCTTTTTTGTCATGAATTTTGGCTTATTTTCAAAACCTGGGAATACCAATAATGGAAATAAACTAAACAGTACAAGCAGCACTTCTTAACACTCTTGGCGTCCATGCCACAAACCAGATGATTTCCAGCCATTTGCTTTGAAGCTTTCTTCTTTTTTATTATCTTCCTTACGCTTATCCCCAGACCGCTGCCTGGGCCAAAGCTGCCGCATGGAGAGCCCTCTGAAAATGACGAAGACACCGAGTACATGTCGCCGTCCTCACTGCCCCTTGTGCCGCCGCTTGCCTTGGCCGGACAAAAGCCTGAGGCCAAATTGCCTTTGGAAGCGAGCCAGAGTTCACGGTGAGGCAAGACCCGTCTCGGACAGAATGGCCGCTCTGTGTCCGCTCTGCCGCCTCGTGTTCCTTTCCCTTTAACTGTCTTTTCTCAGGGAGCCTTCGGAGTGAAAACAAGTGCATTCGAATCCATCTGAAAATGTGCTTTAAATTTATTTGAGCCTGGAAAGACAGCCCCAAATGTGCCCTTGCTGTTTGTCTGAAAGATGCTTTCCCAACTGTTATATAAGCCGAGGCTTTGTGTGTGCATTCACTTGGGATGCAGTTAAAATCATAGAATCCTAGAGTTGGAAGAGACCTCGTGGGCCATCCAGTCCAACCCCATTCTGCCAAGAATCAGGAAAATTGCATTCAAAGCACCCCTGACAGATGGCCATCCAACCTCTGCTTAAAAGCCTCCAAAGAAGGAGCCTCTACCACTCTCCGGGGCAGAGAGTTCCACTGCTGAACAGCTCTCACAGTCAGGAAGTTTTTCCTAATATTCAGATGGAATCTCCTTTTTTGTAGTTTGAAGCCATTGTTCCACGTCTTAGTCTCCAGGGAAGCAGAAAACAAGCTTGCTCCCTCCTTCCTATTACTTCCTCTTACATATTTATACATGGTTATCATATCTTCTCTCAGCCTTCTCTTCTGAAGGCTAAACATGCCCAGCTCCTTAAGCCGCTCTTCATAGGGTTTGTTCTTCAGACCCTTGATCCTTTGAGTCACCCTCCTCTGGACACATTCCAGCTTGTCAACATTTCCCTTAAATTGCAGTTCCCAGAATTTGACACATTATTCCAGGTGTGGTTTGACCAAGGCAGAAGAGAAGGGTAGCATGACTTCTCTGGATCTAGACACTATACTCCTATTTATGCAGCCAAAATCCCATTGGCCTTTTTTGCTGCCGCATCACATTGTTGGCTCATGTTCACCTTCCTGTCCGCGAGGACTCCAAGATCTGTTTCACACGTCCTGCTCTCGAGTCAGGCATCCCTCATTTTGTATCTTTGCATTTCATTTTTTTCTGCCTAAGAGAAGTATCTTGCATTTATCCCTGTTGAACTTCATTTTGTTAGTTTTGACCATTCATCTCTCTAATCTGTTAAGCCCTCTAAACCACCCTGGTGCAGTCAAAGGTTATACAAAAATTGGTTTACAGAAAATGTTACATCCCAAAGGGTCCAATCAGTTAATAAATCAATCACATTATTGATACCCACCATTTTCTCAAAATTGGGACTGCTAAGCACTTTTAATCTTGTACCCACTACTTTGGCCTGGCCCAGTTTTATAGTGTCCTGATGTATTATTTATTGCTTGTTGTTAATATTGCTTTAACTGTTTTTAATTTGCTTTAGGTGTTGTATTGTTGTGTTGTGTTTTGAGGCCTTGGCCTATGTAAGCCGCATCGAGTCCTTCGGGAGATGCTAGCGGGGTAATAATAATAATAATAATAATAATAAGGAGCCCCATTTTCTTAAGCAATAGACAACTTGTGCCCAGAATACTAGCCCGGACAACATGTTACAGCAAAATATAACTAGAACATAAACCAGCATAGGAATGGCTGTTGCCTGCTTCACAGATCCAGCATCACTTCTGAAGCAAATATTTCTCTTTTTCCCTTTCTTGCTTAGGGTGTTGGAGGATGAGGAGGACATGGACGGGTGCACCTATGAAGCCATGTTCAACATCCACTCGCAAGCAGCACCTTCTGGCTCTGAGGCTGCCAGCGCTCTTGGTAAGATTCCTGAGAGAAAGTGTGGAATGGGAACCTACAGCTAGGTTGCACAGACCTTACTTTGGCCTGTGGGATGTTTATGTGAATGGAGGATCCAAGGGCCTGAATGGCTCAAGAGGCAGCATGGCTTGATGGTGGAGAAGGACTTAGACCATTTAATGTCTGTGTAAAAAAGATACATAGAGGCAAGATTCAAAGCTGCCTTAAGAAATGGATAGGAGAGTGCCTGACTAATTATTGCCTGGAGATGATTAGTGTGCTTTGTGGAAAATTGTCATTGCAAGTACCGTTTTAACTGTATGGGCAATGAAAAGCATGGAGGAAAAGATTCTTTAAAAAAAACCAGGGTGTTTTGAATAGTAAAGGTAAAAGTTTCCTCTTGACAATACGTCTAGACATATCCGACTCTGGGGGGTGGTGCTCATCTTCATTTCAAAGTCAAAGTGCCAGCGTTGTCCATAGACACCTCCAAGGTCATGTGCATGGAGCGGCGTTACCTTCCCGCCTGTCGATCTATGCACATTTGCATGTTTGGCAGAAGCTGGGGATAAGAGCAGGAACTCACCCTGCTCCCTAGATTTGAACTTCTGACTTATTGGTCAGCAAGTTCAACAGCTCAGCGGTTTAACCCGCTGCGCCACTGGGGGCTTCTTTGTTTTGAATACTCAAGATTAATCCATGAGGATTTTTGTTCATAAGGCAAAGGAGGAGATAGGAAATATTAAAACTGTAGTTGTGTCTGTAATGTTGGTAAGAGAGACATATCAGAGGTGTGTCTCTTTCATAGCACGAAAGTCCAATTCTTTATTTTTTCACCTTTTATCTTTGGGACGTTAGTATACCTTTGAAATTTTTTACCAAAGTAATGGATATTTATGTGCTATCATGCATTTAAGCACTTAAGGTTGTAATGTGCTTGTTTATATTCTCTCTCTCATATATATATATATATATATATATATATATATTAATTGAAGCAGTCATTGCCATAGAGTCATTCATTTTAAACATGCCTTATCTTCATTTAGCCTTTCCCTGGTGCATGAATTATATATGATTCTGGAAAGCCTTGGGCACTGGGATAAATGCAGGCACTTTGAAAATATTGTTTCCCTCTTGGAATGGTTTCACTTTAGTGAACAATTGGAATGTGTTTGCTTACATCCTGTTGGTATCCAATCCATCTGTCTCCAACTTTGTCTTGTTTGAGGTTTAGGCTGTCAGAGGTTCTCTTTTGAGACTCATTCCCCATGAAAGAGGTTGCAGGACCTCAGGCTTGTAGATAATGCCATGGTCTCCTTTATTTTCTCCCCCCTTGTCAGAGGGGATCGATAGCACAGCTTCCAATGCCACCAATGGTCCTGAGGAGTCGGAGAATGAGGAGGATGGTTACGATGTGCCCAGGCCAGCTCTCCACATGACCATGGCCCGGCGGACGCTCTCCGATATCTCCAACGCAGCCTCTGCCTTCAGCCGTGCTTCTCTGGATGGGGAGGTCCTAGCAGGTGCGTAACCCCAGCTCTGGTCATTGTGCAGCACGGCAGCTTTATGAACCTTTATGCCTTTGTGAACCAGCCCTGACTTTCTCCATTGGATACATTCATGATCTGGAAATATTCTAAGGTTGGGGGCAAGAAGTGTAGGTAACAGACATGCAACACTTTGCCACAAGGATGCTTGGAATGGCAAGGAGGAACAATCCACTATGATTGGGTTTAACCTCCACTTTTCTGCTTTGATGTTTTTAAGATCAGTAACTTGTTTCTAACCATGTTACCTCCCCTTCCTTCCTTCCTTCCTTCCTTCCTTCCTTCCTTCCTTCCTTCCTATCCCTCACTTCTGATGTAATCGACCAGACCGTGGCCCATACCGCCTCTTGCATTTTCGTTCTGTAACTACCTGGTGTCGCACCTACCTTCTTAATTCCTGAATAAGTATATTTCCTGTAGTCGGGACGTGCCCCCCTTCCTTCTTTCCTTCCTGTTTTCCCTCCCTTTCTTCTTTTTTCCTCCTTCCTTTTTACCTTTCCTTCATGACTCATTTCATTCCTTCCCTTCACTGTTGTATTGACTCTCCTTCTTGCTCTCTCTTATCCTTCTTCTCTTCTCTTTTCCCTCCCTTCTGTCTGTCTCCCTCACTCCTTTCCTTTCCTCCCCCCTTTCCTCTTTCCTTTCTTCTTTTCTTTCCTCCGTTCTTCATTCCTCCCTCCTTTCCTCTTTTCTTCCCTCCCTTCTTTCTCCCTCCCTCCTCCTTTCCTCTTTCCTTTCTTCTTTTCTTCCCCCCTTCTTCCCTCTCCCTCCTTCCTTTCCTTTCCTCCTCCTTCCTTTTCTTCTCCTTCTTTCTCCCTCCCTCCTCCCCCTCCCTTCCCTCCCATCCCTCCCTTCCTTCCTTCCTTCCTTCCTTCTGCCATTCATCTTTGCTTTTTCTTTTCTTTTCTTTCTTTCTTTCTTTCCTTCTTTCTCCCTCCTTTCCTTCATTCCCTCCTTCCTCTTTCTTTCCTTTCTGTCCTTCCTCCTTCTTACTAAATTGTGTTTTTTATTTCCTCCTTGTTATTTATCCTTACTAAAACCCATTCCTTTTAAGTTTTTCAGAGAATGACAGAATATTGAGAACTGCTAGAGAAAGGGCTCAGGGGCTCCACTGAAAAAGAATGTTGGCTCTGTCCAGTCTGGTTGGCGCTCAGGGGGTTAAACCCAATCGCATTGGGTAGCTCATCCTGTCATCTCAGAATGGACCTTCACAGTAAGCCAGGCACGGGCAAACTTGGGCCCTTCACGTGTTTTAGACTTCAACTCCCACGGCTGTTAGGATTTGTGGGAGTTGAAGGCCAAAACACATGGAGAGCCCAAGTTTGCCCATGCCTACAGTAAGCCCTTCGCATCTTGTTACTGCATTTCTTTCAGTCCTGCCTGTTACTGTGAGAGATTGGACACTTACCCCTTTCTGTTCTGGAGTGTATTCTGTGGAGCGTTCTCATATCCCCTTTCTCCTTCCATAGATTTTAGAAGAAACGAAGAAGTGGCCGACAGTCTGGTTTTGAGCAGTTCCTTTTTCTTGCATTTCTCGGACGCTCTATATATAATCTAGTGGCTACTTCTGCTTTGAACTAGTGAACCACATGAGTCCCAGCTCTTCACTCTGAAATGTGTTGGCATATGACCCCTTAAAACAAATTTACTTTTATTTTAGGGGTGGGCAGTGCATAGGATATGGTGTTTGTTACTTAAAACTCAAATAAGAAAACAGTACTTAAACATACTGTTCTGGTACAGCTATACCAGGAGCTCCAATTTTATTTGCTTTGTATTAAATGTTTGCTTGCAGTCCAAGGTTTCAGGGACTCTGCAGATAGGTGGCTTCCTTTGGTTGCAGTCATAGGGCAAGTCACCTGTCCATCATCGTTAAGTTTGGTCCCGCCCCTTGCTCAGGGCAATTGGGAAGGGAAGGGAGCCATTTTTAGTTAGTCTCAATAAGGAAAGCTAATGTACAGGACGTGTGCAAGCTCCCCCTGTACAAAAGCTTCAACCCTTAAGACTTTCTGGGGGAGAACAGTCTTAAGAGCATCCAAAGATCTCCAGAGATTTCCAGGGAAACAGTTCTAAAGCCTTGAGGAATTTCGGAGGGCAAACAGTTTGGAAGACCACAAAACTCCAACTGGAGAATCTACTGGCCTTACTGGTAGGTCCACTTGGTGTTTTGAGAAGCAGTTCGACCCGGTATTGGAGCCCACATCAGTAAGGATTAGATTACAGTCAGCCTGGGAAAAGTTAAAAAGGGATTTTCTTTAAAGTAAAAGAAACAGTTACTGAAGACAATTGCCTGTCCTTTGAGGACATGTTTAGGAAGCCACCAGTTGCATAAAAGCCTGGCAGCATTTGTTTAACTTTATTGAAGACAAGAAAGGTTTTTGTTTGATTGTTCATTAATAAAGGACATTGTTATTCTTCACAAGCCATCTAAACACTATTTGTGGTGGAAAGTCCCTGAGAGCTTCTCTTTGCCTTCCCGCTGGGCAAAGGTTGCATGTCCTGATTTAAAAGCAATTCTTTATAGGCCCAGCGCGCGACAGAACACATACTGTTGCACCTCAACAGGAATGCACCTTGCTCACAGCACTCACTAGGAAACCAGACGTGGTAATAAACAGTTTATTGATAAAACACATATAAGAAAGGGCCAAAGGCATGTTAATAATAGGGTAAAAATCCAAGTGTTAATGCAGAAAGTAAGTCCCAAGGGCAATAGGTAAATCCAAAAAACAAGAGTTAAAACATGAACATTAATCCAAAAAATAAGGAACAAAACAGGAACATGAATCCATAAAACCAGAAGCAAAACATAACCAGGAATCTTGGGCCTTGAGCTAAAGCATGAACCAGGAACAAGACAGTTGCGACATCACTTGATCTAAACTCCTAACAGCTCTTTCTCTAACTTAAGGGCTGCAAGACATGAACACATTCCTTTGACCTTGAGAGGCCCGCTTTTGCCTCTCTTTCCCATAGCTTTTCTTGCACCTGAATTTCTGCCCCCTCAGAAGTAGCCTGATATTTCGGTCTAAGCCAGTTGCTTCCTTGGATGAGCTAATGTTATCCTCTCCTCCCTGTCTGTTGGCTTCCAAATCAGTTTCACTCTCACACTTTGACTTAGCCACAGTATCTTGGTCCAAAACTCCCTCTGATCTTTCAGCTGGAGAACCATCTTGCTCTAAGACCCCCTCGGTCTGGGAACCCACAGAACCATCAGGCACTGCTCCTTCAAACCCCTCATCTTCATCAGCTGACTGGCGCAGTGGGTTAAACCCCTGTGCCAGCAGGACTGAAGACAGACGGGTTGCAGGTTCGAATCTGGGGAGAGGTGGATGAGCTCCCTCTATCGACTCCAGCTCCTCATGCGGGGACATGAGAGAAGCCTCCCACAAGGATGATAAAAACATCAAATAATTCAGGCGTCCCCTGGGCAAAGTCCTTGCAGACGGCCAATTCTCTCACACCAGAAGCGACTTGCAGTTTCTCAAGTCGCTCCTGAAACGACAAAAAAATAATCAGCTGACTGAACCACAACACATACATAAATATACTTGATCCAGACTTACATACTTGACTGCACAATTTATCTTATGGACATACACCTCATTGTGAGGAGTGTCTTGTTGTGAAGAATGCCTGGCTCAGAAGTGTATGCTGCTTCTTCTTCCCAACCTTGTCTTTCTCTCCCTTCCAGGATTTTCTGATGGTGCCCAGGTTCCAGAGAGGCCCCCCAAACCCTTGCCACGAAGGATCAACTCCGAGCGGAAAGCAGGCAGCTGCCTGCCGGTGGGCGGTGGAGCAGGGCCGGTCCCGGCCGCCGCCTCCCTGCAGCTCTCCAGCGAGATCGAGAGCCTCATGAGCCAGGGCTACTCATATCAGGACATCCAGAAGGCCCTGGTCATTGCCCACAACAACATTGACATGGCCAAGAACATCCTCCGGGAGTTTGTCTCGGTCTCGTCCCCGGCCCACGTGGCCACATAGCACAGCCCCTCGCTCTGCCTGGGACCCCCTGCCTGGGCGGCACCCTGCCCAGCCTCTTCTAGAGGAGTTCATAGGCTCCTGGAGAGACTTCCTGAGAAGTCAGGCCTGCCTCGACGGAGCATCATCGGTCATCAGGGTTTTATGCGATTCCAGGTGTCAAACGCGAGCGGAGTGAAGCGGAGCGGCTAGGTGTGCGTCCTCGACAGTCTGTGTGTGTCTTTTCCGGAGTCTCCCCCGACCCCTGCACTTTCTAACTTGAGAGAAAATGGACGTGTTGTGTTTTGATAGGTATGCCTAGGCTCCTCTACTGGGCTGGGATATATATCTATATATGTCTCGTGCTGTGAATTCAAACTGGATGCCGGCTTCTCGAATGGCATCTCCACGTCGCTCATGGCGTGCCCTCCCGCGGTTCAGGGCACCGGACGTGGACCTCTTTGCTGCTGTATGTTTTGGCTCAGGCTTTTGAGACCAGGTCCTAGACGACGGAAGAGGTTTCAGTCCTTTCCTTCTGTAATACTATCCTCCCCTAGGCTTGCTCCATTCCGTATTGGCAGTCAGGTCCACTTTGTTGTTGTGCTGAGTCTCTTCCTTGACAGCGTTGCTTGCCACACACTGGATTGCAAGGCACTGTAGATGCTGGACTGTTCTCGCCTGCGCTGGTGAGGCTCAGATGCTGCTTTAGTCCCTCGTCCTGAGCATTATATTTGGAAGTCTTTTCACATTGAATCCAGACTGTTGTGGAGCGGAGTCTTCCAGCCGTCGTCTTGCAACACTCCCGGTGCTTTCGCTGGTTGGCACAACATAGGGCATCTTTGAGGCACCTCATGGTTGCCGTTCCATCCTCTCCTTAGTCAGCTTCCTTTCAAAGCGGGAGATAACCACCTTCTGATGTAGATATGTTTAACCTCCCAACTCAGCAGTAAAAAAGAAATACCACTCTTCATGAAACATTATTTTGAAAAAGGGATCTCTTTCTCTATCCTTGTTCCTTTGGAGATGGGAGGAAGTTCAGACCTTTTGATGGGTGACACGACACATTTAGTTGTTTCTTTTTTCAGAATGGAAGTTTGCAGATTGGGTGGCAATTCTAGAAAAAGGTGGATTTGGGCCTGGACCACCACAGTCCAGTCAGAGGACTTTACTGCAGCATCAGCTGCGACAACGAGATGTCTGTCTTGACATACATTGCATGTTGGATTCTAAAGAGCATTGGTTTCTCTTTTTCTGATAAAGAAATGCTATCTCATCCATTGAAAGATGGAACCAGGGGGAAACTGCGTTTATACAAATTGGGTTTCACTTTATGTGGACAGCCTTAATTGGAAATTTTGGCAGAGGATGTTTGCGCAGGGATCTATTTGGCGGCAAGTTACTCGCATTGCATGGGGGAAAGTGTGAAGATTGGAAGCCACTATTGGCTGTCTCTTGCCGTGGTGCCGAAGCTGAGTCACTGACTTGGCCAGTGGTTGCTCTTGCGTAACTTTTCCTGGCCCAGGTGAAGAGCTCTCCGAAGCCAACGCCTCACTGACGCTCCATGCATGAGACACTCAGCAACAACATCAATCCAATTTTGCTGTTTTCGCGTGTAACACTGAAAATTTTCCACCTGGCAGGCCTCAAACAGTGTGTTTTGTAGGGTTTGCTATGATTTTTCAGATCCTGGTGACATTTATCAGTTGCTGAGTGAACCCCGTTGAGTAAGAAGAGCTGTGACTGGGCCATTTCTTAAGAACCAAGTGGCCTGTGCTTTCCTAAGTTGGTAGGATCATGGATACTCCCTTTTTCTCCCCAAAGGGCCCACCGACTGCACATTGAGTCGCGGTTCGGTTTGCTAAAACTGCAAAAACCAGTTGGAAGAAGCTGTTGAGGTAAATAAACAGCACTGAGTTGGCAACCAGCCTTCTTTGCCAGCGTGCCCAAGAATGCCTTGGCCAAAGGAGTAGCACCAATGTGTCTCTGTGGATAATGGGACACTTATGAGACACTTGAAATGCCAAGGCTGTCAGGACCATTCCAGAACTAGCTTGAGCATTGTCGCATGTGTAGCCGACTGTGGACTTTTCTGCATGTGTCCTCTCTCTATCCACGTCTTGTGTCTTAAATAACTTCTCTTAAAGCGGCTCTTTCCTCCTCCAACCAGATGAATGTCTTTGTTTGCAAGCACAAGGGGAGGCAGAGCGGAAAGGCTTCCCGAAATGTAACTCCTGCTGCTTTTAAATCCCAACCTTGTCTCTTACTTTTTTAAAAAGCTGGACTTTGTTTTGACTCTCAAGCCAAATGTATAGTGCCTTTCGAGAGGGAAAAAATGCTGTAATCACTAGGCTTTGAGCCGAAATAGGAGAGACGGATGGGGAGATTTGACTAGGGGAAACGAAGGAGCATTTCTTTACATTCAGCGGCTTGGAAGGTGCTCTCAGGATGGCATGTCAAGACTCACCTTGGCGAACTTTCCTACCTTTTGCCCTCGTAATAACCATGCATGGTTGGCATTGACGGCCACCCGAAGCTTGAGTTGAAGTGGCTACAACAAATGATGATGAGTTGAAGGAGTGGGTTGTTGTAGGTTTTTTCGGGTTATATGGCCATGTTCTAGAGGCATTCTCTCCTGACGTTTCACCTGCATCTATGGCAAGCCTCCTCAGAGGTTGTGAGGTCTGTTGGAACTAGGAAAATGGGTTTATATATCTGTGGAATGACCCAGGGTGGGACAAAGAACTCTTGTCTGTTGGAGCTAAGTGTGAATGTTTCAACTGACCACCTTGATTAGCATTTGATGGCCTGGCAGACCGTGCAAAAAGAATCTGCGAAGCCCACCTCCAAGATGAACTGAACCACCTAAACTGGGCTTTACAGGCCAATGGAGACTCCACCTCAGACATCAGAAGAGCTGCAAGACCGAGAACAAGCACGAGAGTAAAGACAAAGATTCACCCAGAGGAAAAGTGTCCTAGGTGTGAATGTTTCAACTGACCACCTTGATTAGCATTTGATGGCCTGGCAGTGCCTGGGGCAATTTTTTGTTGAGAGGTGATTAGATGTCCTTGCTTGTTTCCTCTCTGTTGTTTTGCTGTTGTAATTTTAGAGTCTTTTAATACTGGCAGCCAGATTTTGTTCATTTTCATGGTTTCCTCCTTTCTGTTGAAATTGTCCACATGCTTGTGGATTTCAGTGGCTTCTCTGTGTAGTCTGACATGGTGGATGTGAGAGTGGTCCAGCATTTCTGTGTTCTCAAATAATAATCTGTGTCCACAGATATATAAACCCATTTTCCTAGTTCCAACAGACCTCACTACCTGTGAGGATGCTTGCCATAGATGCAGGCGAAACGTCAGGAGAGAATGCCTCTAGAACAGTGTTTCTCAACCTTCCTAATGCCGCAACCCCTTAGTACAGCTCCTTATGTTGTGGTGACCCCCAACCATAACAATATTTTCGTTGCTACTTCATAACTGTAATTTTGATACTGTTATGAATAATAATGTAAATATCCGATATGCAGGATGTATCTTCATTCACTGGACCAAATTTGGCACAAATACCCAATACGCTGAAGTTTGAATACTGGTAGGGTTGGGGCGGGGGTTGATTTTGTCATTTGGGAATTGTCGTTGCTGGGATTTATAGTTCATCTACAATCAAAGAGCATTCTGAACTCCACCAATGATGGAATTAAACCAAATTGGCACACATAATTCCCATGGCCAAGAAAAAATACTGGAAGGGTTTGGTGGGCATTGACCTTGAGTTTTGGAGTTGTAGTTCACCTAACTCTAGAGAGCACTGTAGACTCAAACAATTATGGATCTGGACCAAACTTGGCATGAATACTCAATATGCCCAAATGTGAGCACTGGTGGAGTTTGGGGAAAATAGACTTGACATTGGGAGTTGTAGTTGCTGGTATTTATATAAGGGGGGTATTTTTTAAGTAAGGTCCATTTGAACATAAGTACACAACGAAAGTTTATTTCAAAAAAGTAAATTTAATTTCAGAAAGTACATACTTCACTTTATTTTTCGACATAGTTGCCAAGTTTGTTCAAACACTTATCATACCTCTGAACCAATTTTAAAATACCTCTTCATAAAAACTTGCCGCCTGCTCCGATAACCAAGAGTAATCAAAGAAGGGCGACCGGAGCGGTCCTCATCATGGACGTTGTCACGGCCATCTTTGAATTGTCGTACCCACTTACGCACTTTGCTTTCACTCATAACAGTCTCACCGTACACTTCACAAATCTGTCAATGAATTTCTGCAGCAGGCAGGTTCCTTGCTGACAAAAACCGTATATCACTGAGCGAACCTCACATGCGGAGGGTGAGTTGATAGTCTTAAACATTTTTAAAGCACAGAACAGAACCGTACAGGTTAGCTACAGAGCGGAAACTGAGCACAGTTGTTCCCGAGGCATGCCGGTACACGACGCATGCGCTCGTTGCGGTATGCGCGCGAACTACTAGTGTCTACAACAAAACGGACCTTACTTAAAAAATACCCCTCTAGTTCACCTACAATCAAAGAGCATTCTGAACTCCACCAATGATAGAATTGGGCCAAACTTCCCACACAGAACCCCCATGACCAACAGAAAATACTGTTTTCTGAAGGTCTTTTGCGACCCCGCTGATACCCCCTCATGACCCTCCCAGGGGTCCCGACCCCCAGGTTGAGAAACACTGCTCTAGAACATGGCCATTTAGCCTGAAAAAACCTACAACAACCCAGTGATTCCGGCCACGAAAGCCTTCGACAATACAGTTGAAGGAGGCTTTTAACTAACGATGATGAGTCTCATCCACAAACCCAAGCTTTCCCCGGTCTTAATTTGTCCCTCCGTAAACGAAGCTGCGCATGTCACCTCTCACCGGAAGCAAGAGACATCATGGTGCGTTCCATCCAGAAGCAAAAAAGAAAACCTTGGTCTGTCGCTTTGCTTTTCTTCCATCCTACATTTGACCAGATCAAGGGATATTTGGAAGAGACTTGTTTAGTGCCAACTTTCCTGCTGTCCTTGAGACCTCGGTCTACAAAGGGAGGGACTCAACACGATCCGTCAGGGTCTTCTCTCGTACTGTTTCAACTCCGGTTCATTTCTCTCCATCGTGTGAAGTTTTCCTGTGGATTCCGCCCTTGCGTCTTTGGCGTTCCGTGCCTGTTTGGCCTCCGGAGGTTCTCGTATTTTGCCTTCCTTCACTCTTACGGCATCCGCATGCTTTTACGAACGCCGCCCTTCCAGGAGCCAATTCCGGACAACGATAAGTAAGCCACCGTTTCAACTCACTGACAAAGAACATTGCTGTCCTCGGGACTCAAAGAGATGGAGAAGACGGAAATTTATAAATGGGAGAGGGGTGTAACCAGTAGCTTTATTTCTCTTGAAGGTCGAGAACCGATTTTAATATCAGTGTTAAAAAAAATAAAATTCAGATTTTCACTATTTTAAAAGTTATAATAATGTCATTAATATAAAAAAAAGTATATTAGCAGTATTTAATCCTTTCAGGCCTGTAAAGAATAAGGACAGAAGGTAAATATTCTTTCAGAGTAGCTGAGCTTTAAGGTTCATTTGGTCAAAAGAAAAGAAAAAAGTCCTCATTTTTGTTCTGCCGGATGCATTGTTTAATGTTTTAGAGGTTATACTAATGTTATTTATTTTTTATTTTTCATTCTCGTAAGCTACCCACTAAAGAGCTTGTGAGGGGAGGGGAGGAGTGGGAGAGGGGAAGATTTATGGTATTCCGTGTGTATGTGTGTGCGTGCGTGCGCGTTGGTTAAAAGGAAAAACAAAAAAACAGAAGTTTTATTTTTAAATAAATTTCTTTGTTGTAGCATACAATTGTGTCGTGTCCATTGCGGCTCCCTTGGAACTGAACTGCTTTCCCAGCAGCAAAAAGATAGGTTGCTCTCCAGGCCTCTGATGCCCTGCGCATCACAAGATGCATGGTCCGTTTCATTGGTATCCTGTCACGCTCCCCATGCTCTGTTCTGCCTTGGTTAGACCATAACCTGGAATATTGTGTCCAATTCTGGGCACCACAGTTGAGAGATATTGACAAGCTGGAATGTGTCCAGAGGAAGGCGACTAAAATGATCAAGGGTCGGGAGAACAAGCCCTATGAGGAGCGGCTTAAAGGAGCTGGGCATGTTTAGCCTGAAGAAGAGAAGGCTGAGAGGAGACATGATAGCCATGTATAAAGACGTGAGAGGATAGGGAGGAGGGAGTCAGATGATGAGACTCTGATTACCGAAGTCACAACGTGGCTTTTGGGGTAACGTGTTGACTTCTACAAGCGAGGTGTTTACCATTGCTTAAAAAGATGGGAGAAGTGTGTGTCCCTATATTGTGGCACCCATGGAGAGAAGGACTCAGAACGGGGCCAAGTTTCATTGCTCTTAGTCCACAGGAAGAAGTGGGACAGGACAATTATTATTATTTATTTATTTATTTATTTATTTATTTATTTATTTACTGCGCTTATATACCGCAATTCTCAGCCCTTCAAGGGCGACTCATTGCAGTGTACAACATGAAGAAAACAAGTGCAATCTACAAGGCATAGTGCAAAACAGTGTACAATTCATCATCATCATAAAAACATCTTATCAAACTACAACATTACTACAAAATTACTACTACATTCCGAATCGTCTCATCGTCAAGCCACCAATCCGATATCATTTCCGTTTTTCCATTCCTATGGTCAATTGCCAGTCATTGCACTTCTTGATCAAATGCCTTCTTAAATAGCCAGGTCTTTAACTTCCTGCGGAATATTAGCAGGGAGGGGGCTAGCCTGATGTCCACGGGAAGGGTGTTCCACAGCCGAGGAGCCACCACCGAGAAGGCCCTATCTCTCGTCCCCACCAGCCGTGCCTGTGAGGCAGGCGGGATCGAGAGCAGGGCCTCCCCGGAAGATCTCAAAGTCCTCGTGGGCTCATAGGCCGAGAGGCGGTCAGTTAGGTATTGGGCCGGAACCGTTTAGGGCTTTATAGGCCAATGCCAGCACCTTGAATTGAGCCCGGTAGCAGATCGGCAGCCAGTGGAGTTGGTACAGCAGGGGGGTTGTATGCTCCCTGCGTCCCGCTCCTGTTAGTATCATGGCTGCCGCACGTTGGACCAGTTGGAGCTTCCGGGCCGTCTTCAAAGGCAACCCCACATAGAGAGCGTTGCAGTAGTCTAAACGGGATGTAACCAGAGCGTGGACTACCGTGGCCAAGTCAGACTTCCCAAGGTACGGGCACAGCTGGCGCACGAGCCTAAGCTGTGCAAATGCTCCCCTGGTCACCGCCGAGACCTGAATCCAGGATCACACCCAAGCTGCGAACCTGCGTCTTCAGGGGGAGTGCGACCCCATCCAACACAGGCTGTAACCCTATGCCCTGTTCGGCCTTGCGACTGACCAGGAGTACCTCTGTCTTGTCTGGATTCAATTTCAATTTGTTCGCTCTCATCCAGACCGTCACAGCAGCCAAGCACCGGTTCAGGACCTGGACAGCCTCCTTAGTAGCAGGTGGAAAGGAGTGACAGAGTTGGACATCATCCGCGTACAGATGACACCGTACCCCGAAACTCCGGATGATCTCGCCCAGCGGCTTCATGTAGATGTTAAACAGCATGGGGGACAGTATTGAACCCTGAGGAACCCCACACGACAGGGTTGTGGCGTTGAACAGGTGTCTCCCAATAACACCTTCTGGGAGCGACCCCCCAGGAATGACCGGAGCCACTGTAAAACAGTGCCCCCGAGACCCATCCCAGGCGTCCCAGAAGGATACCGTGGTCGACGGTATCGAAGGCCGCTGAGAGGTCCAGCAGCACCAACAGGGACACACTCCCCCTGTCCAGCTCCCGGCGCAGATCATCCACTAAGGCGACCAAGACCGTCTCAGTACCATGTCCCGGTCTGAAACCAGACTGTGCCGGATCCAGATAATCCGTGTCTCCCAAGAATACCTGGAGTTGTGAGGCCACCACGCTTTCCATGACTTTGCCCAAAAAGGGAAGATTGGAAACTGGCCGAAAGTTGTCAAATTTAGTGGGGTCCAGTGATGGTTTTTTCAACAGCGGTTTTATTATAGCTTGTTTTAAGCTCGCTGGAATTCTGCCTTCCCGAAGGGAGGCGTTAACCACCACCTCAACCCACTCAGCCAATCCCCCTCTGGCCTCCTTTAGAAGCCAGGATGGGCAGGGGTCTAGGATGGACGTGGTAGGCCTCATTCCTCCAAGTATCTTGTCCACATCCTCGGGTTTCACCAATTGAAATGAATCCATCAAAATAGGACAAGCAGGTGCTCGTGTTACATCCTCAGAGACTGCCCTTAATATGGTGTCCAGACCAGAAGGGATCAAAGCGACAAGTTGGAATGTCTCCAGAGAAGGGTGACTAAAATGATCAAGGGTCTGGAGAACAAGCCCTATGAGGAGTGGCTTAAAGAGCTGGGCATGTTTAGCCTGAAAAAGAGAAGGCTGAGAGGAGACATGATAGCAATGCATAAATACGTGAGAGGAAGTCATAGGGAGGAGGGAGCAAGCTTGTTTTCTGCTGCTCTGGAGACTAGAACACAGAACAATGGCCTCAAACGACAAGAAAGGAGATTCCACCTGAACATCTCATTCTTTGGAAACTTTTAAACAGAGGCTGGATGGCCATCTGTCGGGGGTGATTTGAATGCAATTTTCCTGATTCTTGGTTGGACTGGATGGCCCACCAGGTCTCTTCCAGCTCTAGGATTCTAAAGGATATGCAGCAAGTTCCTTTTGTAAAATGGATCTCCAGTTGTCTTCGTTTCTCCTTTATTTCTTTTGCCAGGTGATTGCATTCCCGCTCGCACCTCACCTTCTGTGCCAGTGATGTGTCTTTAGTAGAATTATACAATCCTAGAGTTGGAAGAGACCTGTTGGGCTTTCCAGTCCAACCCCATTTGCCATGGAAGCAGGAAAATCACATTCAAAACACCCCCAACAGATGGTCATCTTCCAACTCTATCATTCTATGATCTAAGAACTTCCTGACTGTGTGAGCTGTTCAGCAGTGGAACTCTCTGCCCTGGAGTGTGGTAGAGGCTCCTTCTTTGGAAGCTTTTAAACAGAGGCTGGATGACCACCTGTCAGGGGTGCTTTGAATGCAATTTTCCTGCTTCTTGGCAGAATGGAGTTGGACTGGATGGCCCACCAGATCTCTTCCAACTCTATCATTCTATGATCTAAGAACTCCTGACTGTGAGAGCTGTTCAACAGTGGAACTCTCTGCCCCATGAGGTCTCCTCCAACTCTATCATTCTATGATCTAAGAACTCCCTGACTGTGAGAGCTGTTCAGCAGTGGAACTCTCTGCCCCGGAGTGTGGTAGAGGCTCCTTCTTTGGAAGCTTTTAGAGGCTGGATGACCATCTGTCAGGGGTGCTTTGAATGCAATTTTCCTGCTTCTTGGCAGAATGGGGTTGGACTGGATGGCCCACCAGGTCTCTTCCAACTCTATCAGTCTATGATCTGAGAACTCCTTGACTGTGAGAGCTGTTCAGCAGTGGAACTCTCTGCCCCATGAGGTCTTCCAATTCTGTCAGTCTATCATCTAAGAACTTTCTGACTGTGAGAGCTGTTCAGCAGTGGAACTCTCTGCCCCATGAGGTCTCTTCCAACTCTATCATTCTATGATCTAAGAACTCCCTGACTGTGAGAGCTGTTCAGCAGTGGAACTCTCTGCCCCGTGAGGTCTCTTCCAACTCTATAATTCTAGGATAAATCTTTAATGAGCGTCCCGAAATTAGGATGTGTGTTACAATCACAGAAATACAGTACGTTGCTCTTGCTTTGAATATCTCCCCCGTCTTCCCAAAAATAGCCAACTCAAAGAAGTTTTAATATTTTTTATTATTTTTCATATATATAATATATATAAAAAACCCTGCAACTCAGACACTCTTAAATTTACACACACATCAACAGAAATATGTATAACAAAAAGCTTTTCGTTTTGGACCGTTTTCGAGCTGGACAAGTCATCCGCCTCCCCGTGTTTTGGTTCATGAGTTTGCACATTTTTTGTCCTCTAAAGCAGGAATGGGCCAACTTGGGCCCTCCAGGTGTTTTGGACTCCAACTCCCATCATTCCTAACAGCCTCAGGCCCCTTCCTTTTCCCCCTCAGCCGCTTAAATTTGGAGGGCCAAATTTTCCCATTCCTTGGGGAACGGGAGCGGAGAGATTTGTCTCCAAACTCAGGGCGACGTTTGGCAATGGAAGAGTTCCCAGCCTCTCTACTTGACCTTGCCGTTTTGGCCTGGGCAAATCCGATCGTTTGCCCGTTTCCACGCTTTGTTTCCTTCCAAGCAAAGCAGAACTGGAGGCGGTTTTCCTCGAGACAGCCAAGTGCTTTGCTTAAGGAACTTGTCTTAGGAAGTTTTTGGGGGGCGAGAGGGAACAGTTTGGGGGAAACGACCTATAAACCAGCAAACAGAAACGCATCGGACTATACATTTTGTACATACCTCCCCAAAAGAGTGGGGTGCCTTGTTGCTATCATAACGCCTTGAAGTGCCGAGAGAACCTTTCCTTGTGCAGAATTAAAGTATGCCTTTGCTTGGAAATTAAGCTTGACTGAAGTCCCTACCAAATTTGAGTTTTCCATCTTGGTCTTTTTGTTTGTGGCAAATAGGAATCTGGCTTTCAATTGTTGCTACTGTTTAGATCAGGTATGGGCAAACTTTCTAACTGTTAGGAGGACCGGCTGCCCGGTGATGGAAGGAAGGAAGGAAGGAAAGTGAAGGAAGGGAAGAGAGAAAGAAGGGAAGGATGGAAGGAGAAAGGGAGAGAGGGGAAAAAGGAAGGAAAGAGGGAAAAGGATAGATGGAAAGGAAGGATAAAGGAAAGAGGAAAGAGAGAGAAAAGGGAAGGAAGAAGGAAGGAAGGAACGGTGGAAGGGAAGGATGGAAGGAAAAAAAAAAGAAGGGATATATTTTATTTATTTTACTTAAAACTTTTATATCCCGATCTTCTCACCTCCGTAGAGGGACTCAGATTGGCTTACAGCAAGGATTCAATATAGAGAAGGATGGAAGGATAAAGGAAAGAGAGAAGGAAAAAGACACAAGGGAAGGGAGGGAAGAAAGGCAGGCAGGCAGGTAGGAGAAAGGGAGTGGGAAGGATGGAAGGAGGAGGGAAAGAAGGAAGGAAAGAGGAAAGAAAGAGAAAAGGGAAGGAAGGAGGGGAGAGAGGGAGGATTAAAGGAAAGAGAAAAGAGCTGGAAGGAATGGTGGAAGGGAAGGATGGAAGGAAGGAAGGGAAGAAGGAAGGAAGGGATAAAGAGAAGGATGGGAAGGATAAAAGAGAAGGAAAAGACAAAAGGGAGGGAGGGAGGGAAGGCAGGCAGGCAGGCAGGCAGACGAAAGGGAGTGTGAAGGATGGAAGGAGGAGGGAAGGAAGGAAGGAAAGGGAAGGAAAGAAGGAAGGACGAAAAGGTGGAGGGATGGAAGGAAGGGAAGGATAAAGGAAAGAGAGAAGGAAAAAGACAAAAGGGAAGGAAGGAAGGCAGGAAGGAAGGAAGGGAGTGGGAAGGATGGAAGGAGAAAGAAGGGGGAGGAGGAAGGAAGGAAAGAGAAAGAAGGAAAGAAAAAAGGAAGGGATAGAGAGAAGGACGAAAGGGTGGAAGGGAAGGATGGAAGGAGAGAGCAGGAAGGAAGGGATAAAGAGAAGAATGGAATGAAGGAAGGGAAGGATAAAGGAAAGAGAAGGAAAAAGGGAAGGAAGTAAGGCAGGAAGGAAGGAAGAGAGTGGGAAGGATGGAAGGAGAAAGGGGAGAAGGAGGAAGGAAGGAAAGAGAAAGAGGGAAAGACAAAAGGGAGGGAAAGACGGAAGGACAAAAGGGTGGAAGGGAAGGATGGAAGGAAGGAAGGAGGAAGGAAAGAGAGAAGGAAGGAAGAATAGGAAGAGAGAGAGAGGAGGGCTTGAGAAAAAAGCCCATGGGGCAGCATCTGGTTTTGCCCATACCTGATTTAGAGCCATACTCTGGAAGCCAAAGCCCTTTTGAGCTCTTTTCCCTAGTCTTCCCATAACTTTTATTTTCCTGCTATTTTTTTCCCATTGACCCTATGGTTGGACCCAGTCTTAGTGGGGAAATGTAAGGGTTGAGTTTTGACCCAGTTGGCAAGTGCTTTGCAACTACTGAAAGAAAAACGATGCATTCAGAGAAATGTTAGGAAAGGACTCTTTTCCTTCCTCCTAACTCAGACTGAAAAATCTAATCCAATAAACTTTGAGTACTAACACTTTCTGGAGAAATAGGTTGGGAGAAAGACTTCTTCTTTCTCCAAGCACACAAGCTTCGTACATCCTGAACATGGATGCTTTGAAAGAATAACCTTCAAAAATTATCTTTTTTTTGGTCTCCCAAGAGGAAAAGGGGTAAGAGTCTCTTTCGGACAGTCCTTTGCCGCGGAGCCGTCTTGTGCATTCGTTGGCTGTGCATTTGGGCCGTGGGAGCAGGAGAGGAGGAGGGGAGCGTTCGGGGAAGGAAGGGCAGGAGAAATCCTCAGGAAAAGGCGCACGGCGGTCCCTCTCAGTTCCTCAGGTCGATGTATTTCTCTCCCTTGGAAAGAGAAAGGCCATTAGAGCGAGGACAGTCAAAAGCAAACCCTCATATATCCTGTAATATCTCAGGCATTTCTGCAAGTGAGTCCAGGTAAATGGAGACAGCTTTTTGGTGAATGGCAGAGCAATTAGTTTGGCAGCGGAGCAAAGCACATGCTGAACTTTGAAATACATGGCTCTCTGGCCATTTCCTGGCAGCTAAACCAAGTCTTGCCATGGGTGCCGCGACTGCGGAGCAAATGACAGCAAGGGAGAAGGAAACCAAAGAGAATACAGCACATGTGCGCAACAATGAGCATATGTTTAGTGAGATGGTGGCTAGTAGTCTCCTGTATTTGTATAGAATCGCTATCTATTTCGGTTTGCTTCATTTGTATGGTCCCAAATTCGTTTTCAAGCGCTGCTTCCGAAAATGGGATGCATTTCCAAATGAGCTGTTTCATTCTTTCATCCAAATGAACAAAATTTTTAAGAACACTGAGCTTAAAATTTATGTAATTATGATGTTGTTGTTTATTGTCTGCATTTTCGGTTTGCGTTTTCGGTTTTATTCTGCTGTAAGCACCGGGATTGTGGCGCCGCTGGCTGAGTGTCAGCTGCATTAAGATCACTCTGACCAAAAGGTCACGAGTTCGAAGCCAGCCCAGGTTGGAGTGGGTTTCCAACCAATTGTGTAGCCTGTTGTCGACCTTTGCAACCCGAAAGACAGTTGCATCTGTCAAGTAGGAAAGTTAGATACCACCTTAAAGTGTGGGGAGGCTAAATTAACTAATTTACGAGGCCATAAAAAAGACTCCAGCAAAAAAGCATGCGGGGAATGCGGAAGTACTTCATCAGCGTCGCAGATGGACGATGAAAGCGACAGCTCCCCTGGCGGCCAGAAAAAGTTAAATAGCCTCTGTGTATGTCTGTATATGTTGTAGGTCAAAATTGGCATTGAATGTTTGCCATATATGTGTACACTGTAATCTGTCCTGAGTTCCCTGCGGGGTGAGAAGGGAGGAATATAAAAGCTGTAAACAAACAAACAAATAAATAAATAAATTGTTGTTTGGGCTCATGTAAGCCGCCCCAAGTCCCCATCAGGGAGATAGTGGTGGGATATAAATATTATTATTATTATTATTATTATTATTATTATTATTATTAAAAGCAGGGCTTAAGATCCCACTGATTTTGAAAGGTTTCCCTCTGGATGTGCATCTCCTCATCTGACACATACGGAAGAACTCCCTGGTCCTCACGAGGAAGGCCACAAAGCCCGAAAACCAAACAACAAAACAGAAACTGGGACTGTGGCGCAGCTGGCTGGGAGTCAGCTGCATTAAGATCACTACTGACCGAAAGGTCATGGCTTCGAAGCCAGCCTGGGTCGGAGTGAGCTTCCGACCATTTGTGTAGCTTGCTGTCGACCTTTGCAGCCCGAAAGACAGTTGCCTCTTTCAAGTAGGAAATTTAGGTACCGCTTATGCGGGGAGGCAAATTTAACTAATTTACGAGGCCATAAAAATCTCTAGCAAGCATGCAAAGAATGAGGAAGTACTTCATTGGTGAAGCAATAGCTCCCCTGGTGGCCTGAATACCCTCAAGAAAAGCTGGAATATTCAATTGCCTCTGAGTGTCTGTCTATATATGTTGTGTGTCTATGGCATTGAATATTTGCCATGTATATGTCCATTGTAATCCGCCCTGAGTCCCCTGCGGGTGAGAAGGGCAGAATATAAATAATGTAAATAATACATAAATAAATAACGTTCTCTTTCGTTTCGCCTTCTGTTTCATCCGAAAATGGGTGTGCCATTTCGTGCCTTCCATACGAGTGAAACAAAGGAAACAAATACTAGTCTTGTGGCTATGCAATGGAGAGCACCACAGGGCTATAGTGCGGGGTGAAATGCTGCTTGGAGAGATAGATGCTCACTTATTTCCATTTGGCAAGAATGAGCCATGGATGCATTAAAGAGACCCTCTTGCATGAAAAAAGTGGAAGCCAAGAGCCAAATACCACAGCATGTTCTCTACCCCTTCTGTGACATCAGTTTTCAGTGTCATTGCAAAAGAAAGGCTGAGTATCCATTGGGGAACTCTGGTGTTCAAGGCAAGGGGAGAACTGGAGGCCACAGAATTGAGGAAGGAGTAGGGCAAGTATGGTAATATATACTACGGGTGCCAATTGGATGCCACTCTTGATTGAATCCCTTTCCAATGCCAGAGACACAGCTTAATGGTATAACATTAGAAAATGTTGACCATTTCCGCTCCCTTGGCAGCCACCTCTCCACCAAAGTCAACATCGACACTGAAATACAACATCGCTTGAGCTCTGCAAGTGCAGCATTTTTCCGAATGAAGCAGAGAGTGTTTGAGGACCAGGACATCCGTAGGGATACCAAGGTGCTTGTTTATAAAGCTATTGTCCTCCCAACCCTGCTCTATGCCTGCAAAACGTGGGCTGTCTACAGATGTCACATGCAACTCCTGGAACTATTCCAGCAGCGCTGCCTCCGGAAAATCCTGCAAATCTCTTGGGAAGACAAGCGGACAAACGTCAGCGTGCTGGAAGAAGCAAAGACCACCAGCATTGAAGTGATGGTCCTCCGCCATCAACTCCGCTGGACCAGCCACGTTGTCCGGATGCCCGACCACCGTCTCCCAAAGCAGTTGCTCTACTCCGAACTCAAGAACGGAAAACGGAATGTTGGTGGGCAGGAAAAGAGATTAAAGATGGGCTCAAAGCCAACCTTAAAAACTCTGGCATAGACACTGAGAACTGGGAAGCCCTGGCCCTTGAGCGCTCCAGCTGGAGGTCAGCTGTGACCAGCAGTGCTGCAGAATTTGAAGAGGCACGAATGGAGGGTGAAAGAGAGAAACGTGCCAAGAGGAAGGCACGTCAAGCCAACCACGACCGAGACCGCCTTCTACCTGGAAACCAATGCCCTCACTGCGGGAGAAGATGCAGGTCAAGAATAGGGCTCCACAGTCACCTACGGACCCACCCTGGATGATTATCCTACTCGGACAACGAGGGATCGCCTAAGTAAGTAAGTGTGGTGCTTATGTTTTGAATGGAGAGCAAGACATAGGTTTATACTCCTGAGTTTGGAGAGGGATAATGCCACAAGAAACCCGACCCCCAAGCCTCGAAATAAGCCAAAGGGTAGCCGCCACTAGCCGTGGGCACGGTGCCTACCTGGTCACTTGCTGATCGCTTCTCGCCGTTGGCGCCCTGCAGAAGCCCCGCCTCTTCAGGAAGTTTATCTGACTTAACTTCAACTACAATCTCGTCTTTATGGGCGCCGGGACTTGTGCTGGGGAGGAGGGAGGGCAAAAGGGTTGAGAAAACGGCCTCTTGGGGGGCAAGAGACAGACGAGAGAGAGCAGGAGAGAGAGGGCACATACGCAACAGAAAGGGGCAGGAGAAATGTTCTTTTCCTTCTCCTCCTGCTCTGGATCTGACTTCTGGTTGCTGTGATTTTTCCAGGCTGTATGACCATGTTCCAGAAGCATTCTCTCCTGACGTTTCCCCTGCATCTATGGCAGGCATCCTCAGAGATTGAGTGTTGGAGCATGTAAGAAATCAGTTGGTGTGTCTGTGTGTGTCAACTAGGCTTGGGCAATCCATGGTTCTAAATGGTTCTAAAGTACTTACAAAACTAAAGTTCTGGTGGTGAAAATTTCAGAACTCTAACAAAACTTTCAAAATTTAATTGTTATTTCATTATTGGTGATTTTAATGACAGAACCAATTAGGAACTGCCATTTATTATGAAATTTTGAGAGTATTGTTAGAGTTCTGAAATTTTCACCACCAGAACTTTAGTTTTGTAAGTACTTTAGAACCATTTAGAACCATGGATTGTCCAAGCCTAGTGCCAACTGTAAAATAAGATGCACAAAGCTGATTGGTCGAGCTATGTCCGTGGCGCTAGCTGAGCCTGGGACTTTTGGATACTGTTACATTTATCAGGCTTGAGCTGTGCAGGTGCTTGCAAAGAAGGAAAGAGAAGCAGAGAGAGTTTGGAGTGTGCTCTTGCTTCATTAGCTGCTGGGAGGAGTTTATCCACATGAACAAAGAAAATACTACATTATATCTCTCATAAAAGGACATTATGTGAGTCGATACAACTGATTGCATGATTGCAAATACGTTGTTCTGAACTACGAAGAGTAAACTACTTGTTCTTTACTGTTCATCTGCGTGGCTTATTTTATTTCTCTGGCAAGGCAGTGAGTGGGCTGATCAAACGTGAACAACGCATTATTTTCATTTCGTCAGTGAGATCTGTTGGAAAGTTGACAAGTGGAGTTTATATATCTACCTGTGCGACTGCATTGCTGTGTATGAACCCACACGATCTCTTCGATCATCTGGAGAGGCCCTGCTCGCGTTCCCATCTCCCTCACAGGCATGATTGGTGGGGACGAGGGAGAGGGCCTTCTCGGTGGTGGCCCCCTGACTCTGGAGCTCACTTCCAAAGGATATTAGGCATGCCCCAACATTGGCCGTCTTTAGGAGGAGTCTGAAAACGTGGCTGTTCCAGTGTGCCCTCCCGGAATAAAGAAATACTTTCCATCAAAATGTCCTCAGAATGCACTTTAACTATTGGATTACGTTGGACTGTGTTGTATATTAATTTGTATTGAATTGTTTTGTTTTGTTTATTGCTTTCCTGTTGTTGTTGTGTGTGGGCTCGGCCTCATGTAAGCCGCACCGAGTCCCTTGGGGAGATGGTAGCAGGGGACAAATAAAGTATTTATTATTATTATTATTATTATTATTATTAATAATAATAATAATAATGTCCAGGGTGGAAGAAAGAACTCTGCTCTGCTTGAGGCAGGTGTGAATGTTGCACTGAATGGCCTTGCAGCTCCAAGGTCTGGCTGCTTCCTGCCTGAGGGAAACAATCAAGGTCAGCTAATCACCTCCCAACAAAGGATTCTCCCAGGCAGCAACCAGCCAGACCTTGAAGCAGCAAGGTCATTAAATGCTAAGTTTTTTAAAATTATTATTATTATTATTATTATTATTATTATTATTATTATTATTATTTAATGTCCAGGGTGGAAGAAAGAACTCTGCTCTGCTTGAGGCAGGTGTGAATGTTGCACTGAATGGCCTTGCAGCTCCAAGGTCTGGCTGCTTCCTGCCTGAGGGAAACAATCAAGGTCAGCTAATCACCTCCCAACAAAGGATTCTCCCAGGCAGCAACCAGCCAGACCTTGAAGCAGCAAGGTCATTAAATGCTAAGTTTTTTAAAATTATTATTATTATTATTATTATTATTATTATTTAATGTCCAGGGTGTAAGAAAGAACTCTGCTCTGCTTGAAGCAGGTGTGAATGTTGCACTGAATGGCCTTGCAGCTCCAAGGTCTGGCTGCTTCCTGCCTGAGGGAAACAATCAAGGTCAGCTAATCACCTCCCAACAAAGGATTCTTCCAGGCAGCAAATTTAAGGATGGAATTAAATTAGCTCTTATAAGGTGTACTTCGCTGTATGCGGCCGCATGTGGCCGCGTGTCATCAAAAATAGCCATGCGTGTCAGTGCTGTCACACATGCCATAGGTTCACCATCACCTGACGTTTCGCCTGCTCTATGGCAAGTATCATCAGAGGTAGTGAGACCCCCTCTGAGGTTGCTTGCCATAGATGCAGGCGAAACGTCAGGAGAAATGCCTCTAGAACATGGCCATATAGCCCGAAAAAACCTACAACAACCCAGTGAATCCGGCCATGAAAGCCAATTGCAACATTCACACTTGCCTCAAGCAGACAAGAGTTTTTCTCACACATTCCACAGATACATAAACTTCACTTGCCTAGTTTCCAACAGACCTTACAACCTCTGAGGATGCCTGCCATAAATGTGGATGAAACGTCAGGAGAGAATGCTTCTAGAACATTGCCAGACAGCTCGGAAAACTCACAGCATCTACCAGATTTGGGGGAAATACCCTCAAACTGTGTACAGAATTTGCAAGGGAGGAGAGAGTATTACGCCCAAATCTGGATCCGATCCGTTCTTCCTGGCCTTGGTTTGGGTGATTTAAACTTTGGACTATGGAGACCAGGGTTCGAATCCTTACCCAATCATGGGTGAATTCAGAGGGAAGGGAACCTCTTCTGAGCAAACATAGCCAATAAAACCCTATGACAGGATTGCTTTAGCGTCACTGTAGATTGGAAAGGTGCTACAGGCCCGGCAGATGGACGAACGCAACCCAAGCACCAATGCAGTGATGAGAAGGGGATGCGTTGCTTCTGGCAGGTGAATGAGAAGCAATGGAGGAGAGCTGGGAGACCGGGACGATGCTTACATCTCTTGTTTCCCCGAACGTCCGCAGCGCAGCTTCCCTTTCTTGTGCAGGAAGTAAAGGACGGCGCCCAGGATGGAAATCGCCATGATGCAGACCACCACCGCCACGATAATGACCCCTCGGCTCTCCTGTTTGGTCGAACCTTCGGGAAGGAATATATCATAGATAGGTAAACAACAGAATGGCCTTCCTAAGTCAATAAAGCGCCTTAAATATGGCTCTGGCTTCCTCCCAATGTTTCGTTTGAGGAAATGGGTCCGGAAAGCTAAAGTAAAAATATAATTTCTCCAGCGACATGTGATTCAAAACATCTTATTTTGGAGATGGTCATCATGAGCTCCAAAGTGCTCACAACTGTAATAGCAAATGTTTCTCCCTGTCTATGTTTATGCCATTGGGAGGAAGAGAGAGAAAGCGTTCCGAAACACTTTGGACGTTCAATGCCTGCTCGAGTGCAAAAGCCGCCTGAAGCAGCGGCTTCATGTGAAAAGAAACAACAATGGTGTAACACAGGAGTGGGCAGAGTGTGGCTCGTGTGATCCCCATGCGCTCAATTTGGAAAATATATATAAAAGATGTCTCCAAATGGCATCTACAGGCATAGGGGATATTTTGGAAGAGTTATAGGCTCTGGAGAGGCCTTATTTCAGTGTTTCTCAACCTTCCTAACGCGGCAACCCCTTAATACAGTTCCTCATGTTGTGGTGACCCCCAATCATAAAATTATTTTCGTTGCAACTGTCATTTGGGAGTTGTAGTTGCTGGAATTTATAATTCACCTACAATCAAAGAGCATTCTCAACTCCACCAACGATGGAATTGAACCCAACTTGGCACACAGAACTCCCATGATCAACAGAAAATACTGGAAGGGTTTGGTGGGCATTGATCTTGAGTTTGGAGTTGTAGTTCACCTACATCCAGAGAGCACTGTGGACTCAAACAATGATGGATCTGGACCAAACTTGGCACAAGCCCTCAATATGGCCCTGGTCATTCCACAGATATATAAACCCTTTTCCCAGTTCCAGCAGACCTCACCTCTGAGGATGCTTGCCATAGATGCAGGCGAAACGTCAGGAGAGAATGCCTCTAGAACATGGCCATATAGCCCGAAAAAACCCACAAGAACTGAATGATGGATCTGATCTGAACCAAACGTGGCACGAATGCTCAATATGCAAAAGCATTCTGAACTCCACCAACAATGGGATTGAACCAAACTTGGCACACAGAACTCTCATGGCCAACAGAAAATACTGGAAGGGTTTGGTGGGCATTGACCTTGAGTTTTGGAGTTGTAGTTCACCTACATCCAGGGAGAACTGTGGACTCAAACAATGATGGATCTGATCTGAACCAAACGTGGCACGAATGCTCTATATGCAAAAGCATTCTGAACTCCACCAACAATGGGATGGAACCCAACTTGGCACACAGAACTCTCATGACCAACAGAAAATACTGGAAGGGTTTGGTGGGGATTGACCTTGAGTTCTGGAGTTGTAGTTTACCTACATCCAGAGAGCACTGTAGACTCAAACAGTGATGGATCAGGACCAAACTTGGCACGAATACTCAATATGCCCAAATGTGAACACTGGTGGAGTTTTTTGGGGATATAGACTTTGATATTTGGGAGTTGTAGTTGCTGGGATTTATAGTTCACCTACAATCAAAGAGCATTCTAAACTCCACCGACAGAATTAAACCAAACTTGGCAAACAGAACTCCCACAACCAACAAAAAATACTGGAAGGGTTTGGTGGTCATTGACCTTGAGTTCTAGAGTTGTAGTTCAGCTACATCCAGGGAGAACTGTGGACTCAAACAATGATGAATCTGGACCAAACTTGGCATGAATGCTCAATATGCCCAAATGTGAACACTGATGGAGTTTAGGGAAAATAGACATTTGGGAGTTGGAATTTCTGGGATTTATAGTTCACGTACAATCAAAGAGCATTCTGAACCTCACCTACAACGTAATTGGGCAAACTTCCCACAAAGAAAGAGAAAATATTGTGTTTTCTGATGGTCTTTGGTGACTCCTCCGATACCCCCTCTCGACCCTCCCTGGGGTTCCTGACACCCAGGTTGAGAAACACTGCCTTATTCCAATACCCTTGCTACAAAAATGCCTCCCCAGAGCCTACAATGGCTGAGTTGCCCCACAAAGCATGGCAAAAATATCCCCCACACATCTAGGGACAAATTATTATTATTTTTAGAGAAAATAAAGATGCAATGAGGGTCTGTAATCTCCTTTATGGTTTGAGGAGGGGGTCCATAGCCTCCGAAAGCTGCCCACTCCTTGTGTAACACCATAAACATTGCAGAAGATGCTGGAAAGAAGCAGGAGCACCTTGCCCTGCCACGTGGCTTTCTCTCCAATCCAACCCAGGAGGGACCTGTGGAGGTGACTGCAGAGTTGATTCTCTTGCAGAGAAGCCACAAAACAGGGAACACCCATTCAGCTTCTATTTGGATTAGGAGAAAAAGCAGGTTCCTAGCTTTTGTGGTTCTCAAAACTTGGCTTAACGTTCAGGGGCCAAGCTAGCTTTGCCAACGAGACCACAGCTTGATAGTCCCTCTTAAGACTAGCAAAACAAATTCTGCAAAAAGAGGCGTTGAGGCACATTTGCACAGCTGTATTCATGTTGGCGCATTACGGTGGAATAGGCAACGGCACCAGTAAGGAAACAGTTATGGATGATCAGCAATTTGGAGAGAAACATTGCCATAATGCACCAACAAGACTCTGGCGCTGTTCTAGGCATTCCCTTGGAGCAGGGAAGGCAGTGGTTGTGTTCACTTCGCACACAGCCCCAGCCATTGCCTCCCAGTTTGGACTGGTTTGAAAAATACAACCAGGAGGCAAGAGCAAGCTTTGGTCCGATTGGCAGGGAAGGTTTGCCAATGGGAGCAACGGTCTCAGCGGAAGTTGGACGGATACCTTGCGTCAGGTTACGCCTGCCTATACCTTCCTCCGTCTCTCCGAAATAAGATGTCTCGTTGTACTCAAACTCTGAAGTGTCATTTTCCAACCAAGTGGGAGTGGGGAACGTGGGGAACGTATCTGGAGAGCAGCAGGTGGAGAATGGAGGCAACGTTAAGGCTAAGTGAGTAGAATGGTGGGTTAACTCAATTTACGTGTGGTATGGACTTCCCACCAACCTCAACTCTTCTTGGCCTAACCTTGGCTTTGGGGGACCTAAATTGTGTTGGCTCAGCTCCAATGGAGCCAAGAAACAAGACAATGGAAGGTTAGCTACTCCTTCCATCTTTGAGATTGGAGACACACACTGTAACCATAGGCAGTCTCCATGCCAAGGAATGATAGCTTCAGTTTATGGGATCCTTTTTCACCCCACTTGGCCCGTGGTAAGCACAGCGGGTTAAATGGCCAGCTACAGAAAGTCTTGCCGACTAGAAGTTTGGCAGTTTAAGTCGTGGATGGGGTGAGCTCCCGCCGTCAGCTCAGCTTCTCCTCACCTAGCAGTTTGAAAACAGTAATGTGAGCAGATAAAATTTGCTTAATGCTCAGGGGCCAAGCAAGCTTTGCAAATGAGGCAATGACTAAAAGTCCTCTTTAAGACTAGCAAAACAAATTCCGGACTGTAGCACAGCTGGTTAATCACCAGCTGAAACAGATCACTGCCAAATGGAAGGTGGCGAGTTTGAAGCCCGAGTTGGATTGAGCACCCGACTGTTAAGCCTAGCTCACTGTCCACCTAAGCAGTTCGAAAACAGCTGAGCTGTGAGTAAAGAAATTAGGGACTGCTTAAAGCGGGGAGATATTTTACGACACCATCCAGCGATCAAAGAATAAGGAGGAAAAACAATCAAAATGACTCAGCATCATAGTGGATAAAGTGACCGGAATCGAGCAAAATCTCCAGGCGCCGAAGTTGAAATGCCGAAAATGCCTTATCTGTCTGTCTAAAAAATGGCACTGAATGTTTGCCATGTATGTGTGCATTGTGATCCACCCTGAGTCCCATTCGGGGTGAGAAGGGCGGAATATAAATACCGTAAATAATAAATAGGTACCGCTTTTGGCGGAGAGGTAAAAGGAGCCCTGAAGACATGCCGGCAATTTGATCAGAAGGGAGGAAAGCAAGAGAAATGGAGTGGCAGCGCCTCCCCATGGCTAAACCAAGCACAGCCTCCAGATGCCGGAAATGAAAAAGAGGGGAAGCCTTTGCCTCTGTCTGTATACTGTCTGTCTTTGTTTAGTGTGTAACAGCATTGAATGTTTGCCATATATGTATTTTGTACTCTGCTCCAAGTCCCCTCGGAGAGATAGAGCAGAATATAAATAAAGTATATTATTATTATTATTATTATTATTATTATTATTACTTGCCCTCGAGAGCAGTACGTGTGAAAAAGATCTTGGAAGTCCATGTGGGGAACAAGTTAAACATGTACCAACAATGTGATGTGGCGGCAAAAAAAGCCAACGGGATTTTGGCCTGCATCAATAGGAGCATAGTGTCCAGATCTAGGGAAGTCATGCTCCCCATGCTCCATTCTGCCTTGGTCAGACCATACCTGGAATATTGTGTCCAGTTCTGGGCATCACATTTGAAGAGAGATATTGACAAGCTGGAATGTGTCCAGAGGAGGGCGACTAAAATGATCAAGGGCCTGGAAAACAAGCCCTATGAGGACCGGCTTAAAGAGCTGGGCATGTTTAGCCTGAAGAAGAGAAGGCTGAGAGGAGATATTATAGCCATGTATAAA